CAAATTTTCTCCCCATCTCTACACTCCCTCCATCCCAAGACAGAGTGAATTCTGAATATCCTTCCCTTGATCTGTTCTTCCTTCCATCACTGCCCCCTTTATCTCCTCCCCCTTCTATTTTCCAGTAGGGTAGGATAGATTTCTCTACCCCATTGCTTGTATATCTTATTTTCCAGTTGCATGTAAAAACAATTTTTAACATTTGTTTTGAAAACTTTGGATTCCAAATTGTCTCCCTTCTTCCCACACTTAGATGTTTTTGAGTGACAATTACTTGGCACCACCTAGTGGGAAAACTACACATTTCCATTTTCCCATCAGGTTTTTATGTATTTGAACCTTCAAACAAAAACACAAGAGACCAAATCAGGGAGGAAACTGTCATAATTCTTTATTTTTAAGAACTTTTCTCTGCATATAGGGCAGAATAAAATGATGACTCAACTTACTTCCTGTCAGCAACGCAGTGATCTTATTTTAAAAATAAATGAGAATAAATTAGCATCACACAACTAAACATAGTGTAGGCAGGTAAGGCTGCTAGGTTGTAGGTTTCTGATTGTACCAATAAACATCATTAACCTAGTTTGGAACTCTTCTATGAATTCTTTAAGTAATATAGGATGAATTACTTTGATCTTCCAAGAATGTATTATTCCATCAGCATAGGTACTCCTTTCATCAAACACTGACTACGGTTATCCTTTCCACATTGTGAGGGTTAGGGGCACAGCACCCCTGTGATCTGGATAACGTGTGCAAAATTTTTTGGCTTTCCCTTCATACCAGAGTACCAGTCTGATTTTTTTTTCTTTTATGGGGTGTTTACATCACCTTATTATAAAATTTGGGTTATTTGGTTGGTTAGAGGCTCTGGCTCGTCTACTGGCCTTTGAATTTAATCTGTGGCTTCCACAAAACTTCCCCAAAATTCCCACTTACAGTAATCTTATGCTAATCTGCAATATATTGAAACTTACACAACTCTAAGTGAGGTAAGAAATGGTCTGTAATCCTTATATTACACTATCCTGGAACAATCTGCAACTATACATAAAATGCCACATTGTCTTAAAACACAGAATTAAAAACCACTTTGAATAACTTTAAGTCAGTAAAACCTGGGTCAATAAAATTTTTTCCTTTTAATCTGAACAAAAAAAAATCTGAAATGTATTATTTCTAAAAGCTCACTGGATATTAGGGAGTACTATTGCTGCAGAGAAAATAATAATAATTTGAGTAAATTTAAATCATTAGCCAATTTCCTTTACTACCACTTTCTATAGCAGTAATTTTGTTATGTCTATATATCAATACAACTAAAAAAAGATTGCTTAGTTATGGATGCTTACTGTTTATTCAACTGATCTCCATGAAAAACTTCCATTAAAAGGTTGTCATTTGCACATATCATTTGTTCTGGCAGATGTTACATATGGATGCTAACAGACAATAGCTCCTTTCAAGAACCTATTTTCTTAGGATTATTTTCTGAAAGGTGTAAATAGATGAATAAGTAACAAGTAAAAGCAATTATTCAAAGGTGAATGCTTTTTTAAAAAGGGACATTTCCTATACTGTCTCTATTTCTTTTTAAAGAAGTTTACTCCACAACACTAACCCATTGTTGAAGTACCTAATATCAATCAGCAGTTTAATTTTCTCAGTATACTCTGCCTACAAAGAATGAAAAGAAGTTACCCAATGGATAGAGTCCGTAGTCAGGAATACCTGAGTTCAAATCTGGCCTCAGATTTGAAGTGACCCTGGGCAAGTCACTTAACCCTGTTTCCTCAGTTCCTCATCTGTAAAATGAGCTGGAGAAGGAAATGGCAAAGCACTCCAGTATCTTTGCCAAGAAAACTCCAAATGGGATCATGAAGAGTCAGACAAGACTGAATAACAACAAACACATATCTTGAGGTGAGACAGATGTCAGGTGATATAATAGGAAGATGGAAAAAATGATATAAGAGAATATTCTAAAACTTTTTAGAAACAGCATTAAATTATATGTTTTAGAAGTGACTAAAGAATTTTTTAAAAAACACATTAAGATTTTTAGAAATGTCAACTTTTCTGTATTAATATGGCTCAGTATACTCAAGGGATATCATAGTCTTTTGGACTGCTTCTTTTTTAAATTTTGGATTTCTTATTCATGAAGAAACTTCTTACAGTGAATAAAAAATAATTCAAGTTATTCTTTTGAACAAAGACCTTTGGGGGCAGCCAGGTGGCACAGTGGATAGAGCACTGGCCCTGGATTCAGGAGGACCTGAGTTCAAATCCAGCCTCAGACACATAACACTTACTAGCTGTGTGACTGTGGGCAAGTCACTTAACCGCCATTGCCTAACCAAAAAACAAAAACAAAACCAAAAAAAAAAAAACCACTTTCCATGGAAACTTTCTACCTTTCAAGATAGAGCTTTCCAAGCAACACAATTATATATTAATCCAACTTTTAAATATGTAAAGCATCACATGTGTACTTCAATAAAAGCCAAAAGTAGGTAGATGGTCCTAAAATATTTGAATATTTGTCAGTTTGTAAGGAGAAATGCCTTAACTGGAGGTAGCATAGCATAATAAAGAGCACTTGACTTATTGTCAGAAGACTGCAGTTGTACAGTCCTCCTACCTCTGACACCTACTGTGTGAGCACAGGTAAGTCACCTGACTTCTCTGAGCCTTAGTTTCCTCTTCTGTGAAAAGAGGATATTACAATATCTGTAACTCAGGAGATAGGCAGAGTTTCATAATAGATCTATAGCTAGTCTTGGAATCAAAACCACCCAGGTTCAAAGTCCCCTTTCTGACATATACTGACTGTCTGACCCCAAACAACTTAACTTCTCAGCACCCCAGGCAATTCTAATATTATCAATTACTAAACAGCAGCCAATCAGCATTAGTGGCGGGAATTTCTCACAGGGGAGTTGCCTACATCAGTGGAATCATAGAACTAAAACCAAAACCCATCTCACAGAGTTAAGAACAAAGTACCTTGCAAACCTGAAAGCACTACATTCATGCAAATGATTATCATTATACACACTTTCTTTTCTTCTGTAATATGGATTTTCTTAAAGAGATGTTATTTTAACTAAATATGCCCTTTAATAAAGGAGAAACAGATACTGAGAACAGTACAATGTGGGTATTAATAAAAAATATTAAGTAATCCTTTTCTGTCCTTGGATTACCTAGTCTTTTTCTTTGACTCATTCACGTGGACAACTTACTGGTGGGTGATAACCTCTCTATTCTTAGACAGGTGGTTTTTGGACAGCAAACTCAGTTTGTTACTGGGACTACACTCAGAACCTCTCTAGGATGGCAGAATCTGCCATAGCAAAGCCTGCGCTCCTCTGACAAAGCCAAGGAGAACCCAATACAGTTATTTTCTTATGTAATGCGCTGAGACACAATAAAATAAGACAAGACGAGGCATGTGTGAAAAATATATACAAGTGGTCTTCCATCACCTTTGGCTATGGGTTCTTGTAACCATTTTGGTCCACAATAATGTATCATCTATATCAGACCTGACACTGGTTTAGGGAGTATGAAGCAGACAAGCTTCAAAAGATAGTATCTTTTTTTCTTTAAATATTCCTAGCTAAAACTATGATACTACAAAGATTTTTTTTTTATTCTTCAAATATGAAGTATTTTTATTATGTTCGATGATTAATATTTCACTAATCGTAGTTTAACTCAGGACCTAGAAAATGTAATGAAATGATTAAGTGGCATCTATGCCCCTTAATGTATTAGGTTCATTAAAAAAAAAGTTAATAAAGTTTAATTCTGAAAAGCAGCCCAGTCCTTAACAGGGGTATATTTAAGGGGAAAAAAAAAGCCTTACTGACATTTTTACCCCTGTGATATAACCTTAAATCCATATTAATTCCCAATATATTGGACTTTTTAGACTTCATGCATGTCTGTGATTGAAAATTTATATTTGTGAGAAGCAGAACTAGTTATTTCTTTTAAACACATGTGACTTACAATGAATATTTCAACAGTACTTAAAGTTTGCAAGGTACTAGCACTGAAATCCACTGAAGATATTATCCTTCAATTTACAGATTCCCCATCCAAGTCTAAGAGAGGGTAAATGGCTTGACCATAGCCACACACAGTTGGTGTTAGATCTTTGATTTGAACACAAGTCTTCCTGACTCTAAGACCAGCAATGATCTAGCTACTACGGATCAGTTCAGGTGCACAATTCTGTTTAACATGTAATCAAGTTCAAAACAATTTTTTAAAATAATTTTATTTTCCCCCAATTTATGTAATTGAGTTTTAATAAAATTTCTGGTCTATTAGTCCATTTAGTTCAATAAACTGGGTAAAGAATTTATTAAATTTCCTTAATAACTTATTAGTTAAAATTTTCCTAGATTCTATAATTACTTTACAAAGGATAAGATACATCTTTAGAGGTCACATAATTTAATGTGGCACAGTTAGGTAGCTGCCAAACCATCCAATCTACTTATTTACATCTCAGTATAAGCAAAAAACTTAAAAAATAGCAATTTTAAAACTGCTGTTTAAAATTCATTAATCTGTTTAAAATAAATTTCTGTTAAATCAATTTTTTGAAATAACTATAATAAATAATGCTGCAAGGTTTTTTTGCAGTATTCATCAAATTTCCATTTTAACTTGGGAAAAATGCTCTCCAAATTATTTATCTCAACCTATAAACAACTTGATAATTTCACTTTTGGTACAGGTAGTCTATAAGCAAAATAACTTCATATAAATAGTAACAAATCCTGGAAAGGTCTTAAAAATTCAGCATAGAGATATTTCGATTGATACATATTTTGAGTTCCAGTCCTCAAAGTCAGTTTAAAGTACTTCAGCAGGCAACTATTTTTGTGTGACCACAGGATGAATTTATTCTGTTAAACCCTAAATACTGCCTTCTTTATTTTTCTGTTCATTATAATTTCCACATTAATAAGGCATGATTTAGTGAAACAAAGAAAACTTTATTTCTTCTAAACATAACAAAACACATTTCTCTTCAAACAACTACTGTATTACTTTTAGCATAAATGCGTGGATTTAAAATACATGTCTGCAAACTCTGCTCCCCCCAGCAAGACAATGTTGTGCACAAACTAGCAAATTATACAAAAAAAGCTGTCAACTGTCCACAGGGAGTGCGTCCAGTCACATTTTTCAGTCAGTCAGCTGAGGGTTATGTCAATATTTAGTATCTGTTCTGTAGAAAGAACACAACACAAGTATGAAAATCATCACCTGAAAGGCAAACAGCTCATTTGTTTAGTATTCCTATCATTACCTAAATGTAACTGTATTTTAATGGATCTGTTTATCTGCTTACCTGAAAACTAGATGGAACCCAAACAAGTGAAGCCAAAGTGAGAGGTCAGAAAGGTAATAAACAAGAGCAGGGTACTGAATTTCTGAAGGGAAAAGGCTGTGGATTACTATAGGATCAAAGTTCAGTAATATTTTAGATGGTCAGGTTCAAAAGAAAAATGAGTTCTTTCATTGTATTTAAAAGTAGATAGAAATCCTGAATCCCCAACAAAAGTTTTATATACCGTTCGTTCGATATTTCCAAAAGAAAAATTAAAGAGCTGTTTCACATATCTAAGTGAAAAATGCTCTAAGAAAACTTTAATTTCCATCCTTTAAGTGAGCAGTCTTAAATACTGACAAGACTATTCCATTTTCCTGTAGCAGAGAGAAGGTGGCTTTTGTGTTAGGGTTCCTCTTACCCTTAAAATGGATCCAACTGCTTTTAGTATTTTCTTAAAAAAATTAATAAACCAGATGCTGAATTAATATAGGATAATCCTTGCTCCTACTTCCTTAGAGAAGCTTATTCAATGCTAAAGATGTCCCATAAAGATAAGCCAACCTTTACTGACTTATTTATGTCTGTCTGTGCCTTTTTTTGCATTAAGAAAGGAAACAAAAACACTTTAAGAAAATTGAGGAATGCTTTCGTACAATTTTATTGTATTTCTAATTAGGCCAAAATCGTTCATGAGCCTACTAAGATTTCCCTTGAGATGTCCATGGCGAAGGGCCCAGTAGGTAAAAGGTTATAAAAATCACCTTTTAGCTGATCAAGGTAGAGTACATGCTGCAACTAGAAGATCTTAAAAACAAGAATAAATCATAGCCAAAATTTTCTCATTCATATCACCACAATTTCAATCAATCCCTAAGCTACTCTGTCCTTGCCTTGGATACGTGCAATGCTTCAATAATGGGGAAGGTAAAAGGCTTAAGTTTTATGGCCACTCATCTTGAAGAATGTAAAATTCTTCTAATGCAAGAAAAAGAATGTAACTTATTCTTAAGAGCAAAAAAATAGCTTCAAAAGCTTATAACTCTAGGCAGAGCTTGGCCACCAAGCAAAAAGGTGTGTTACTACATCTTTAGTAACTATACATCTGAGTAAACTGACTCTTCTGATCACTTGTACCTCACATAATTTTTTACTAATTGGTTCCTGGATGAGACAGGAGTTTCAGTTGACTCCATTTTCCTCCACTGGAAAAACAACAGGGAAAAAACCTGAGCCACAAGCATGATTTTAAAAAAATAATTCAAAACTAAATAAAAATTTTCTTCTTTTATATAGAGATTTAAAAAATATCTGCCTTTTTAAACTGTGAAGTCAGGCTTTTTATATTCTTACTTTTTTTTTTTAAAGTGTCAAAGGATCTTTAGACAAAAGCAAAAACCAACTTTTAAAAACATATTAAAATATTTGCAATTAAAGGCAACACATTTTATATACCATTACAAAAATAAGCTACTATAAGTTATCACAAACTTAAAAATAACTGTCCTTGATATTTTGTTCTTAAAAATAATACTGGTATGGTACTTTGAGAATATTTCTTATTGCAGAAATGAAGGCTTAAAATCATTTAAAGAATTTATTTTCACCTAACATTTAAGGTCTCAAAAGACAAAAATGTCAAAACATTGTTATAACATATTGTCTCTAATGTCTGTCATTGAGTAAAATGTAAAATGGTCCTCAAACAAAAGTGACTGGTCATGATGGGCAAAATAGGTATTGCTCACTCTGCTAACTTCCTCATTTTAAAGATAATTACTTGGAGCAAAATAGAACACATCTCAAATCTATAGAATCCTTTTTTCTTGTAACTGGTTAAAAATAAAATAATATAACAAGCAACTGTCTCAAACTGGTGACTTCAAATTGTATTCAAAATACTTCTTATAATGCTGCTATTACACCTGTGGCCACAAGCACGGTAGAGGACAGAGTAGTGATAATAATCTCTGTGTACCTGTGAGGGCAGTGAGTTCTCTGTCTACTCTAGATCTTTGAGGAAATTTCTTTTTTTTTTTTGTGAGGCAATGGGGGTTAAGTGACTTGCCCAGGATCACACTGCTAGTTAAGTGTCAAGTGTTTGAGGCAGGATTTGAACTCAGGTCCTCCTGACTCCAAGGCTGGAGCTCTATACACCATGCCACCTAGCTGCCCCTTACTCTAGATCTAAAAAGCTGTAAAGTCCATTGTTTGGGCAACAAATTAAAAAAAAATGCAAAGCTGTTAAAGATCTGTCTTAAAACCAAAAATGTTTCACACATTCAGGAATGTTAGGGATACAACCATTCACACACAATGAAATTAAAAATTAATCTCCTACTATTAATGGACAAAAAATAATAGTTTATTATGAATAAAACTCAAATTTCCTTTCTTGATACATACAATGTTATTTAAAGAAAAATAGCTTTTGGTAAGTTGTTAGGTCAACTTTTGTCTTAAATATTCATTTAAGAATCCTCGTGCACCTACTGAAGTCAGTTAATTGCACTGCAGTTTTCTTAATGTACACTGGTTGCCTTTCAGAGGACACACAGGCACACAGGCAGTTTTAAAAGATGAAGATACAAACCTATGACCACACACATACTTACATTTGTTTTGGTACCAATGTTAAAAAAATTTAATTGTTTCAAAATATTCTTATCCAGTCTTATTTTTAGGTACTTTATTAATGAGAAACAAATTGTTTCAACAGGACTGTTATAAGGTCTCATTTAATAAGCAAGGACACATGTGTGCTAAAATTTTGTAGAAACTTATGTAAGCACAAAAGAAAAAGGTCAAGTTGTAATGTAAGGTTTTTCTTTTTTATTAAAAAACACAAATAAAACAATATACTTAGTTCTAATTTCCTAGGTTGAATTTGTTTTTGAGTTACAGAAGGGCAAAAGGCATCAAGCCAGTACACTTTTTAAAACGATGTTTTAAAAGTTTAATTTTTAGAAATGAACTGTCAAGATTAGCCACCTGAGCTGTGACTTTATCAGCCAAATTTCAGCCTGAAGCATTTTTTTTGTAATGCCAAATTCTAAATCCCTAAAAACAAAGTTCATAATTACAGTGCTAGCACATACTGCTTTTGCTTTACAATTTAGTCGGTATTTAGTCATAGACTACAAAGTACTTACCTGTATCATCAATACGTTCTTTGCCTTTTGTTAGATTCTTCTCTGGGTGAATCTGCCAACATAACTTTAAGCCTGACGCCATTCAAAATTTTCCCATGTAAAGTAGCTATGGCATCATTAGCACTTGTTCTATCTGCATACTTGGCATACCCCACATTTTTTCCTGATACAAGGTAGACTTCAATCAGATTCCCAAAACGACTGAAACAAAATAAGCTGTTTTAAGTGAAACATGTAAATAAAGCTGTTGCAAAAGGAGCCTAAAATTACTATAATTAGTTTAAATAATGTTAAAATACTTTTGTTACATTAACAGAATCTAATCTTTTTTATGGCTCCTTATCAAACCTTTTATACACCTTAATTCATTATTAATGGAAGCTGAAAAGAAAAGAAGGGATTAAATATAAAAAGTCCACACAATTAAATAACCAAAGGACCTCAAAAACGTCCCTTGAAAATTTCTCTGTGTTATCAAAGGTTCTCAAAGTACAGAAATCATGTCTTCTGTTAGCACCTAATTTAGCATATCTCTTAGAGTTAGCATGATTGTGTCGGGTTTTCCCAATGAGACTGTAAGCTCCTTAAGGGCAGGGGCGGCTTTACAAGCTTCTTTTGTATCCTCCAAGTGCCCATCACTGCACTTAGCACAGGAAGTGCTCAATAATCACCTGTTAAATTAATTATACATTATAATTATATAATTAATTATACATATACAATTAAACACGTTACAATAACAGAAAAACAGTACAGGTTCACCCCAGGTCAAAGTACTGGTCAATTATTTCTAGGTTCTAACTTTTTAAAGACAACCCTATGAACAACTCAGAAACAAAAGAAAAGTTAATTCTGTGGGAATACAGAATTACAGGAACATAGGATCAAAATATAGGAAGGGAATAGGCAAAAAGGCAGAGGTTTCTGAGAGAGGTCATATAAGGAAAGGTTCTTAGAAGAAATAATTGTATTTGATTCATTGATATAACAATGGGGAATTTTCAACATTGTGAGCTTACTGGGTAACAGAATACCCAATACTTAAATATTTTCATGTTTAATCCTTATTTATTATTGATCATGACCCTGTGGAACTGAAGTCTTACCAGAATATATCCTCCAGTATGTCCAAAGGTAAGGGATGAGGATTAAACACAATAAAAAGCCTTTCCTTCACAGCAGTTTCAGGCGGGGCTTTCTTTTTACATGATGGAAGCACAATATCTGTTTGAATCTGAGGCAACTGAGACCCAGAACTTCCTCCAAATTGCTGTTGAGAAGTACATAATGAGAAAATGACAGTGAACTAGAAGGTTGTGATTTCAGTCAGAGAGGATTTTTAATAAAAAGAGATGCTGCTAAAATTTTACCCATGCCTTCTGATAGTACCTTTACTACCTTGGATGTTTTTCTGGATTACAACTCTGCTAACTCTCTTTAAAAAGTAACAAATGTAATGCAAGTCAAGGTGACTCTTAAAACAATTTTCTTCTAGTTTCTTGATGTGTGAAGAAAGAATAAAACAGGCACCATATCTCCTTACCAAAGATGCCAGAAATTGTTGCTGACCAGGGTTATTCCACACCATTGATGCAAGCTGTGCAGCGACCATCTGGGTTGCCATTTTTCTAAGGAGGCTGAAAATGTAACAACTGATGTCAGTTACACAATGTTATTAGAGAAATTGTAATGATATGATTAGTAAGCAATGCTATTACTTTATTTTTCTATGAAATAGTCAAACTTGAGATGTTTAGGTGTATGTTTAAAATTTTTCCTATTTTCCCTCGAATAAATTATATACTTCAAAAACTCTGTCTCAGCCATACATTGAATATTACTTACTCTGTTCCATTGCTTCCATCGTCAAGGAATGAGACACCTATCCGATTTCCAGGAGGGTACTGAAATCCATGTAGCTTGTATTTTGCATATATAGCTGATGCTACGTTAAAATACTGAACCACTCCATGACCTTTAATAAAGTAGAAAACACACAGAAAAGTTGAATGAAAAATTTGTTGAAAAACAGTTGTTAAAAAAAAAGTCCTTGCTGAATAGATCCATCATGATATCTAGAGTTGACAGATTTAATATTTCCCATTTTATTGATACTTACAAAAGAAAAGCTTAATTGGTTGCAAATGGCTTCATCCTGCCAGTCTGCTTACATGAAGTTTACTACGGCCTTTCACCAATAAGGTTCATAGTAGTCTTCCTTAGTTAAGAAGAAAAGGATAAAAACTAACTAGGAATAACAAATTTGAAAAAAGTAGTTATCCTCTACTTTGATCTGAAGGGTGATGAAAAAGCTGTGGGGAGAATGGGTGTGTACTGATGTTTACGTTTAAAAAAAAAAGAAAAAATCAATGAAATATTTTAGAAAATACAAAGAAAAGAAGAGAAAAAGCTGAGAAGGGAGAACTAGAAAAGCAGGATGATTCTGTTACTGTGTTAAATTTAACATACATTTAGAACGGTATAGAAGAGAAGTTGTTTTGTTTTTCTGTTCTTTGTATATTGAAATTTCATATTTGTTGACCTATGTTATGCTCATAATAAAAAAGGAAGTTAAAAAAAGAAAAAAAGAGAGAGAAAGAGGTAGTCACCTTGAAAGCTAACAGTTAAATGAGCTAACTTAAGCAGTTTGTAGACCTGGGTTAGATCTGGGTAATATGATCAAGTAAGATTAAAACAGGTCTGTACTGTAAAAAGGTTCTTTAGATTAACAGATACTATCTACTATATCTGAGACAGAAGAGTGCTTATTTTCTTACTAAATATTTTTAGGGAAGGAAAATTTTCCACATTGTTCCGTAGGGTGTTGTTACTCTATTTAAGAATTTTTCCCAACTAATGTTCATACCTATTACTACATCCTAAGTCTATTTCCTCTCAATCCATCCTCAGTGGTAAAGAAAAACTGACTATAAATGCTTTCAGGAAACCAGCTTCATTGACTGAACTAACAGTCTATTATTTACAACCATATCTACATTCCAAATCTAATCTAAAGTAGGGAAACTACAAAACATTAAAAAAATAACTAATCATATATCCCACCCCCCCAAAACTACTCTAAAACATATATTTTCTAGATTCTGCCTGTTACTGAGCCAATCTTTATTATTTGTGCTATGACTATATTTGAATGATGTCTAAAATATTTTTAAACATTTGGCAAGGTTTGCAAAAAGTTGCACTGGATTTTTTTTTCCCAAAAGGGAGGGTTTTTTTTGAGGGGTAGGATGTAGAAAAGAACAAACAGCAAACTGTGCTTCCTAAAGATCTGGAAGAATGATCAGAAAAGGAGGGGAGAGAGAGAAAAATATAATAGCTAGATTATATAAATAGAACAGACTCAACTAATAAAGCTTAGCTGTGTAAAACCCTCACTCCACACACCTTTTGCTTGCCTGTTAATTCAGTCACTGGTATGAAGCCTTACCAGGCTGTCATCAACTCTGAAGAAGGAAAGAAAGCTTCTGATATGGGGTCAAGCAGCAGGTCTGGGGACAAAGGCAAATTCCTACTCCATAGAGCTGGACCCTGGGTGGACTAGAAAAGCTCAACTCTAGGTTTCCGAGGGCTTCACATGGGCATATATGGTTGTGGGACCATCTTCTCTTGGGGCCTGCTTTCAAAATGAAGAGCTATTTAATATTTAGTATCTGAGAATATGGAACAGTACAGTACTAGTACTTCACAAAAATTTTAGATATTCTTTGCCACTTCTTGAGCTTTCTTTATTTGCTCCTCTCCCAGAACCTTCTTTTCCCTTGCCCTCATAACTTTCCCCACACTCCACATGCTTTAAAATGATCACTCAATATCCCAGCAACACCACTTCCCCTATCATCATCATATCAAACTTATACTTGAAGGCACCTATGTAAGGTTGTAGACAGAGTGTTTGGTGTCAGGAAGACCCGTATTCAAATTCTGCCTCTGATACATACTAATTGTATGACTCCAGACAAATCACTTAACTTTGTTGGTCTGTTTTCTCATCCAGAAAATGAGGGGGCTGGAACTAATGTCTTCTCAAATTGCTTCTAGTTCTAAATTTATGATCTTATGATTCTAAGGACATTACATAAGTATCTTATTTGATCCTCAGAACAAACCTTTAAGGTAGGTGCTATTGTCATCCCTATTTTAAAGATGAGGAAACAGTCTAAGAATAGTTAAGAGAGTTAGCAAAGTTCCCAGAGCTAGCTATTAAAGCACCTGAGGCAGGACCTGAACTCTGGTTTTCCTGACTTAAGGTCCAGCACTCTACCCACTAAGGTTCCACACCTTCAATCATTCAACAGAACTGACTTAGGCTAGGTGTTTGTAATAAAGCACTATGATACACTCTAAGGTATGTATAACTAATAGAACTTCAAAGCTCCTGCACTTCACAAGATTTTATCAGCCCAAATGAAGCTCTAAGCAGAATTCCAGGAAGGGTGATTATTTTACAACTTAGAGGGTAGGAAGGATAACTACCTGTGTCCCACTTACATTAAATGATAGGTCACAAAACACTTTTTTTTTTTTGCTTTGGTAAGCTCTACTCTACCCTCTAACCCTATCCCTAGCATTCCTCAGAAATCATTGCCACATCTTAAGGCCTAGCTTTGTTTCCTCCAAACAGGAATGTGGCCTTTAAATTCCTGCCCTGAAATGCACTTTTCGTCCGTCTAGTTTTCAGCTCCCATTGCACCTGAGGCATCTTTGGAACTGGAAGATGAATGGTAGCAGTAAGGGCAGAGAAATAAGATATTTATCTGAACCTCCTGCTGACTCCACTGAGGTGCCAATCTTTCCACTGTTCTTAAGACACCCTCAGTTTCATTCGGTTTATAGTATAGGTTCCACAGACTTTATGGTTTCTATGGTTTATGTTGATTGATTAGGCCAATATAGTAAAAAGAGTAATGAACTGAAAATCAGGAGAATTGGAGAGAGAAAATCAACTCCTGATTCTGCTACTAAATTAGTTTACATGACCTCAAGTAAGTCACAAACCTTTGTTCTCCAATTTCTCCATCTATTAAGGAAAAAAAAAGACTACATAATATCAAAGGTCTTTTTTAGCTCGAATATTATCAAGGAGGTTGGACTTTTAACTACTTCATGTCATCAGTCCTGGGTCTTTTTGTCTAAGGAAATATGTAGCTTCTCCTTGGGAATCCAACCTTGTAAAAGCCATCTCTCACTGAATCCTTTCTGGTGAGAAGCATCTGCTTTTGGAATCTTTCCATAAGCTACTAACTAAACTGTCCACATATGCTCATTCATCTTAGTCTGTTGCACATTTAGCATGGCTTTCTGCTTATAACTTCAGAAAAAATTAGAGGAAACATTAGCCCTAGTATGAGGCAAGTTTACAGCAATAAATGGGAAGCAAGTCACTTTGTATAATGTTAGTACATTACATTCCTAAAAATTAACAATAACATCAGGTTTTGGTGCTATTTTAAGTATACTTGGAATTAGCTGTTTTAAGGAAATCTATGTTAAATGCTGTTGTAAAATAAAAATTTAAAATTACTCACATTTTATCTGCATAAGATTAGGTTTTTGCATAATCATTTCTTAAAGGACACTCAACAGTTAACATTTTATAGTACTCTGTTTTGCAAAGCACTTTCCTCACAATAACTATCTGAGGGTGGTAGTGAAAATATTATTTCTATTTTGCAGATGAAGAAACTGAAGCTCAGCAGGAAAGATCTTCCTCATGCTCAGCTAGCTACAGTACTGGAATTTGAATCTGGGTTTACCTTTCAAGTCCAATGCTCTTTAACCATAGTTATTCATCTACCTTTCAATTCTATTCAATAAACATTCATTTGGCACTTAGCATGTGCATAGCACTATGCTAGGTGCTGTGGATAGAGACAAGAAGAAAATAATCCCCAGTCTTAAAGTGCACACATTGTACTGGGGTGATATAACATGTACACAAACAAGTAAATACAAGGTGATTTGAAGCAGGAGAAAGCATCAACAATAGTGAAAGAGAGGGAGGGCAGATCAGGGAAGGCTTCAAGGAAGAGGTAGCACCAGAACTGAGCCCTAAAAGAAAGTAAGAATTGGAGATAAAGAGGCACTATTCCACATTGATATCTGTTCTATAAAACAACACTTTGGGGAGTAACTGAGCCAGTTACAAATTCATTGAAGCTATATTTTTTCATCTCGTCCACAGGAATATCATAAGGCTTTGCCAAATGTCTTGCTCACATTCAGATAATATGCTTAGGGGTGGGGAACCTATGGCTTCGAGGCCACATGTGCCCTTCTAGGTCCTTGGGTGCAGCCTTTTGACTAAATCCAAATTTTACAAAACAATCCTTTTATTGAGGAGATTTGTTCTGTGAAGTTTGGATTTAGTCAAAGGGCTGCACTTGAGGACCTAGAGGGCCACATGTGGCCTTGAGGCCAGAGGTTCCCCACCCCTGGTTTATATTATTCTCTTGATCTGCCAATCTAGTATCCCTATAAAACAATGATACTGCTTAGAAAAGAAGAAAAGATGTTACCGTTTCCCTAAGTTGCTCAGAAATTCTCTCTTAAATGTCAGAAATATTGGCCTATTGTTTACAAAATCTACTTTCTTCTAATTTTTGAAAATCAAGGCAAATGTCTTCTAGAAAGTTCTTCCTTCTACACAGTTTCTCAGAGGTCACACAGTCAGCAGTTTAGTGCTCCCATCTACAAGTTCTTGCAGGAAGAGGCAGCACAGTGAAGTACTGGACTCAATTTGAAGGCTTGGGTTCAAGACCTACCCTTGCTATTTAGTAGCTGTGCTTTTCCAGCAACGCAGCCTCAAATTTCATCCTGTGTAAAATAGTATTCACATTGCATACCTTATAATGATGTTGTGAGAATCAAATAAGATGATCCTTGGAAAATGATTTATTATAAAGCACTACATTAATATTAGCCATTACTACTTCCTTATGGTACAATCTGTCCAAGTTCGGAGAGCTGAGTTCAAAGCTGCTGGATGCTCTAATATATATTTAGCTTTGATTCCTTCTTAATCATATTTGTCCTACTTTTTCCAGTCTGAGGATCATTTTTCTCAACTGAGAAAACTGTTCACGAAATTCATTGAATGGCTCACTTTTTATCCAGTGGTGGATGACATCACACTACCTGCACCATATATCCCATCTTCCTTTCATCTTGAATATAACTTAAAAAAAATCCCTTTTTGTTCTTAACATTTTTTCATTCTCCATCGGTTAGCTTTGACCTTTCTAACACCATTGTCAGAAGTATGTGCCACTCTTCTTTATTTTTTCTTGGCTACATACCTCTTTCCAGCTTTTACTATGTGTTCTTTTTCGACATGAATTCATCAGAGTTCCCTGTGAAACTAAAGTGGTTACTTTAAAGGCCTCTTCTTTGCTTTATCTGGCTCAGTCAGAATCATATTACCAGTTTTTTGTCTTTGTGAGCCTTCTACCTCTCTTGAATAACTTTCCCTTTCACGGTCTCTGGCAATGGCATAACATCTATCTTTACTCTCTTTTTGTGAAGTCTAGAGCTCATGACTGACTGTGCCCAGCATTTATTTGCCTCCTTGGCTATGACTAACTCTAGCATGACACTATTGCTGTCCCCTAGGTCATCCTCATTTTCATTTCACCAACTAGTTGTGGGGTTTTGGTCAGAGTCAGTGTCCAATTAGCAGTTACCTTTCTTTATCTTTTTTTTCAGATGACTATGCCCATGCATTACAGGAAGATAGTCTGCTGTAATATTTCCTTTTCTACCCTCTAGGAAAAGGTCACCATTTCAATGAAATTCAGATTGGAAAGGATGCCAATGGCCATCTAGTTCAACCATAAGTGAAAAAGAATCCCGTCTACAACATACCTAACAAGTGGTCATCCAGCCTTTACTTGAGGACCTCCAATGAGGAAACCCACTACCTCCCGAAGCTGCCCATTCCATTTTTGGATAGTTCTAATTGTTAGGAAGTTTTTCCTTACATTAAGCCTAAAACAGAAATTTTGATGTCCTGTTAAGTTAGTTAAAACAGGATTCTAAATATATAGCAATAACTCTGTTAATTAAGAGGCTATATTTCAATGGTAAACTTTGTCAGAAACTTCATAATCAGAGACAGAAACGACATAGGAGACAAAAGAATCCATGTGGGATATAGTAGCAATATAGTACAGTGGAAAAGAGTTGGACTTGACACGAGCTCAGATGCAACCTCTGATACTTGTTAGTATGGGCAAGTCACTTAACATCTCTGAGTGTCAGTTTCTTCATCTGTAAAGTAAGAACAGTATCATTCATAGTACCTACCTAACAGGACTGTTAGAAGAATCAAGTGAGATATTGTATGTAAAGTACTTTTCAAACCTTAATATATTATTTTTGTTACTACAGTTATTATTATTGTTATTGCTATACAGTGATAAAGGGGAGAAACAATGATTTCCATATTAAAAACATAAATGTTAGAAAACTTAAAATACGTATTTAGAAATTTTGGGGAAAAGGGAAAAGAGAACTGAAGTTGTGTTAAGGTTTAAAGTGTGACCCAACTTGTACTCAGTCAGACCAGATAGGGTTACTGTACCTATAATATTACTTTCTTTCTTTTATGATAGGCAAAAACAGATTCAGGCGCTGGAAAAAAAAATCACTGATGACAGGATACAGACTCAAACCCTAGCAGTTCCTCTTGGCAGACCTCTAGTAGACTAGACCAAAGATGGCTTGTGTGGGTGACTTTGGGCTATGCTTGTCTGACCTGTCACTCTAAAAGGACAAGATTAGTGTTACCTCAGGACTAAAAGAATATTGAGTATTCTTTTCCCCTTGTCAAAGGAAATCATTCCACAATCAGATAATCAATTGCAAATATTTAAAAGGCAAATGCCTGGTTAAGGTAATAATCCAGTGTGAGTTAATTCTAATTAAACTAAAAACAGTCCTTCAAATAGTCCAAAAAAACTTATCAGATCTTTCCCTGTTTTGATTCAAGAAGAGAATAAAGAGACGAGAGAGTCACTGGGATCTGAAATAAGCCACAAGAGGTAGGGTGGGAGAAATAGGGAGAAGGTGGCAAGGTTTAGAAGGTGGGAACTAAGACAAACTTTTCAGATAACACAATTTGGCCCAGGGTTCGTCTGACTACTTTCAATTGGGTAGAGATATATACAAGTTAGGCATTGAGATTTTTTTTTTTGTTCCATAGTTACAAATATGAAGCTCTGCTTCATAAGATTTATGTAATTCTTTTTTAAAAATTACTATATATAAGATTTATATAATTCTTATTTGTTTGATTACTATGGATGACAACATAACGAAGCTTCTTTTACAGGGAATCAAGGTCAATAGGACGTTCCTAAAACTCAGAGAAAGAGAAACTCCAAATCCTGTCATGTGGTCATTAAAAAAATTGATCATGAAAGGAACAATTATAGAAAGTTATTTTTAAACAGAATAAGAGCTTAATTAAGAACAAAAATTAGAAATTATTTTTACCATAGTTAGAGTAAGGATCTCGTTGGACTTCACAATATTCCAAGCCTGGGACTATATCAAAAATGCTGCAGAGCTGCTCTTGTGTGAAAGGAACTCGTGATACCACTGACAAGCGTTTGGAGATGGTCTCCTGGCCTCGGATATCATTCTTTTCAAAAGAGGGAAATTCTGGCTGTTCTTCTCCAACAAAATAACAAATATTAAGTTATCAAATTTCTGTACACTTATTAATTTAAAACATGCTTAAAGTTTTAGGTACAAGAAAATAAAACTGGTATATAATGATAGACCTTTTAAATAAAAGTAGTTATGTGAGATTGGGATGCTACGTAGTGTCCCATGTAAATGGCATCATATGGAATATACATGAGTCTTGAAATAAAATGAGTCCTCTACAGAATTTAAACCATGCAAGTATAAAAATAATTTCAACTGTTTGTTCTCTTGCTTGCAGTAATAAGAGACCAACAACAGGAGACAGAAAGCACTTCACTACACAGAGAAATGCAAGCACAGAATGTGTTTAGCTTATTCAATAACACGTAAGTATAGTTTAGAAAACCTCATCCTCTTCCATGAATTTCATTTGGGAAAATATATTCCTCAACCTTCTGGGGATTCAGAATTCTTACTCTCACTAGCCGTTCTTCCACCTGTCCTCCAATACTTTCTCTGGCTCATATTCAAAGACAGTATATTCATGAGACAGATATTCAAGACTGACAGATTTCTTCCAGTATGTTGAGCACATCAAGGAGCAGGTAAGTGTGGGTATGATGTGTCTGAGGCAGCAAGTTCTACAATACCCTAACCATCTGTACGTGCTGTTTCTAAAACTTTACTTTTTAATGAAAATAGCAATCATTGGAGAACCTATAGAATACTGATATACTTTTGGTAGAGTTATGAATTTGTCCAATTATTGTGGAACTATGTCCAAAGAGTAACAAACTGTACAATGGAGACTCTTTGAACCACTGCTAACATATATTGTCCACTGAGGTCAAAGACAGAGGGAATGGACCCATGGATAAAAAGATATTTGCAACAGCATTTTTGGGAGTTGTTGTTATAGCAAAGGTCTGGAAACAAAGTGACGGCTCCTCAACTGGAGAATGGCCAAATAAATCATAGTATATGAATATAATGGGTTATTTTTGTTTTATAAGAAATAATGAAGGATTCAGAGAAACCTGAAAGGATATGTATCAACTAATGCAGGCTGAAATGAGCAGAAATAGAACAACTTATACGATGACCACAATAATGTAAAGAAAAACAACCTTAAAAATGAAGCATGTCTCGTGCCTCTTGACAAAGAGGTGATGAACTACAGGTGCAGAATGAGTCATACATTTTCAGACATGGCCAATGTGTTGCTGATGTGTTCTAACTATACTTATTGGTTATAAGGAAGGGTGATTTAGTGGATGATGACAGATAGGAAAGAAAAAGAAAATAGAGTTATTAAAACATTTTTAAAATACACAGAAGAAAAAGTTTAGAAGGGGACACAAATAAGGCAATTTGTTACTATGTTAAATTGAAAACACTTTTAAAAATGGTATATAAAAGTTCATATACTTCATATATGTCTTCATACATAATCATCTTTTTTGTTTTTGTCAACTGAAATGTTTGATGATTGTTAGGTTTATATTAAGATTTTTTTTCAACTTTACCTTCAATTTTCATTCACCTCTTAGATTAGAGATTGTTTGCACAGTCAAAAACTACAAAGAATTTGTGATCTTGCCACAACAGGAGTATTACATCCAAAGATGCAGATCACAACTGCCTGCCCATCCTATACAATTCTTATCCATGGACAGACTGTCTATAAAATATTTTTTTTCAAAGGTATAATCATTATTATCATCAAAAGTAGTACTACTTACCAAAAGGAAACATATTTACTCTATGTTCATGTCCCAATGCCTCCTGCCTCATACTACTATAATAATCTTGTTCAGAAGATTCAGATGCTTTATTTTTAGGTTCAGCCAAGATTGCTCTAAAACCTGAAAAAGATAACTCACACATTTTCAGTTTCACATAAATGATTATCTGTTCCACCAGTGCTCCATTTTAAAGCGTGTGTGTGTGTGTGTGTGTGTGTGTGTTGTGTGCGCGTGTCCCTTGTTGGTCTCAACTTCTGATGTTCTGGGAACTCCTGACATGAAAATTCTCTTCATCAATACAAACTGACAAATCATCTGGAATTCAGTATTTGAGTTACGAATAACGCTCAAAGGAAAGCTGGTATATGCTAGAGTCAGAATCGGAATCAGATTTATCTAACTATAAGGTTCTATCAACCACACCACTTTGCCTCTTACCATATACTAATGTCAGAAATAGAATTTAAAGGTTATATACCTGCTACATCTCACTAAACTATTTAATTCTGTAAGTACTAGAAACAATCACCTCACATTTTCATAGAACTTTACTGTTTACATAACATTTTTCCCCTTACAAAACCCCTAACTTATGTTTGACTATACATACTTAATGATGCTTTTTTTTGGGGGGGGGTTCTTTTATTTCAGCTATGAGCTATTTTGGAACTAGATATTACCAAATACAATTTACTTATGAATACCGTGTCCAAAGAGACACGTCTTTAATACAAAGAAATAAAACAGCCTGATTTTTCCAAGCCCACAAAACCCTGACTTGTTTTCGTCTCTATATAAATACTTTCTAAAATAAGTTAATCTTATCATCTTATCTATCATAACGGTTGTCCTGACATTTTTGATTTTAAGACATTGTTGTCAAAGAAAAATATTATCAGATTGGTCTGAAAAATGTTCATCTCAGGGCTCTATAACCCAACTGCTTAGGTTAAGGTCAAATTAGAAGTGAAACCAGAATTGAAAGATGTTCTTAAACCAACAAACACGGATAGATCTTCAAAAGCATATCTGTAAAAGTATTAATCAAACACATTCTTACTTCGATCACAGTTTTCTATGGCCTGGGCAGCTTGCGACGGTTTTAAGTATCTTACATAGCCCAAACCTTTACTTTCTCCAGTGCTTTTATTCTTAATAATGCTGCAATACTCAATGTCTCCATAGACCTAAAAGATTTAAAAAACAAAAATGGTATGTACAATCAAAGTGTATACTAAAAATTTAACATCAACAGCTTAGGCCTTTGGAGAAAATTAAGACTGAAATGTAATCATGCAAATTGCTTGGACAGATATGGAAATAAGAGTTCATAACTACATTATTACAGAATGTAGTGCTAGGAAACACTAGGAAATAATATGTTATATTTTGCAACTATTATTAATATATTATTGCTAATAATATAGCATATATAGTAAGAATATAAAAGGTTTTGGAATATTTCCTACAATATTTTTAACAACATCTACTCTGAATATTAAATAACAAAATAAGCAAATTTTGGAAAATAATTTCATTAAAGATGCTGACTAAAGATACCTTAAATTTATCCCTTAGATCTTCTTCTGTGTATGATTTTGGTATCATGACAAAGATTCTTGTAAGTTCTTCATCTTCAACATCCCGGTGGCTCCCAGATGATCTTGCCTGGGCAATGAAAACCTAAGAAAGAGTTTTAGTTAAATATGAAAAAATAGTCCATGACCTTTTCTAGATTCCCAGTACTTTTATGATGATGTTTTCTACTAAAGTTCTACAGTACAAAATAAATATTAAAGTAGTCCTGATCCACTAATGTCCTAATGTGATGCTTCCTTGTGGTGTTGAAATGATCCTAGATTCTCAAAGGCAATACCACTGGAGTGTATGTTCTGATGGGTACTAAAAAGGACCATTCTAAAAATACTGTAAAGGCTCTCTGACTATTTGCTTTTTTAGGACCATAAACTAGCTGATAACTAGCCTGACCAAAGGATGATGAATTTTTCAGCTACAGCAGTCCTTTAGGCTGTGTAGTATGATAGATAAAGAGAGCAGTAGACTTAGAGTCAAGGTTCAAATTCTGTCTGAAACACTTACTAGTTGTAGGACCCTAGACAAGTCACTTAGCTTCTCTCAGAGTTTCCTCAAGTGTAAAATGAAAATAATATTTAATATTACCTACATCATAGGGCTGTTGTGAGAATCAAATGCGATATTACATGTAAAGCATTTTACAAACCTTAAAGCACTACATAAATATAAACTATTAGTATTATCACCTACTAAGTCAAAAAGGGATTATGCTTTGTATTAATGAAAGGAGTATACACATCAATGAAATCACAGATCTCTGAAGTAATGACATATGTATTTGATTAATGTGATGAAATTTGGTAGGTTCTCATCAATTCTCAATGGAAATCTTTACAACTAATAAAATTATCATTGGAAACAGCATTTATAGATTTCTATATTCTGTTGCCGCTTTTTCTGCCCATATTTTCATCAACTAAAAAAGTGATAAATGGTCACAGAATATGTGTGTATACACACACACACACATATGTATATGCTTATCAGACTGTAGTGGTGCTGAATAAGATAGCCAGTTTTAAAGATTTCTAAAACTTAAATTGATTAGCAACAATCCTATTGAGCTCCTAATTTTTAAATGACAGATAATTTTAAATTTAACAACCAGCAATACCAACACATAGCAAGTTTCTTAATAGATTTCAATGACTAAAACTGCAAGATAGGCATAAGCAAGCTGCAACACCATTATTACGAATAAGGAACTAAAAGAGAAGGAGTATAAAGGATGTCATCAAGGAATGTATATGATCATCCTAGAAAATGCAGCTTGGTATCTGTTGCGGAAAGAGCCCTGGACTTGTATAGTTGGAAGACCTGGATTCAAGTTTAGCTCTTACCTAGGCAAGTGACTTAATCTGAGTTTTAGTTTCTATATCTGTAAAGGAGAAATTCTAAGGTACTTATGTGATGTAACGATCAGGGTTGTTTGAGGAGCAAATAAAAAATATAGGCTGTTTTTACTAATTGTAAAGCACTATATAATTTTAAGTTATTAGTATTAGTGTTAATTATAAACTCCAATGACACGGAAAGTTTTAATTTTCTTTTTACCTTCTTCAGCATTTAACATAGTGTTTTGCACAGAGTATGTGCTCAATAAATATTTTACTGAGTTCTTCTTCTCCAAATATTTGTCTTAGGTTCATAATTTTCATCTGCTGACCTATACAGATCAAAGGACCAGACCTTAGGCTTAGTCTCTCTTAACTCACTAGCCTCCTTGCTTCTCCTGAAAGACAAACCTGGGGAGATTGTGTCCAAATTTCCTTCACAAATGGCTTTTATTTCTACTCTAGCCACTGTAGATAGATAGCTCTACCTCTGGTTTCCCCAGGGGTCATGGAGACAACTCAGTTTGGAACTCTACTGTCCATTGTTTGATCTTTTATTACTCTCAATTTCATCTTGTTTTTGACAGTTGTCACTGAACCTCTCTAACAGAATTACCAAGATTGATCCTAGATTTTGTTCTTCTACCACACCTATTTCTATCCACATCTTCCAACGGGATTTCAGGCTCCTATCTTTTGGGAGAGAGGAAGAGGCATGTGAAGGACACCAAAGGTCAGGACCAGAGGTTCTTAACCTCATTTTATGGGTTTTACTTTATGCATTTCAAAGCATTATTCTGAGAAGCAGCATATAGGTTTCACCAGACTGCCAAAGGAGTCCATGACACACACAAAAAGGTCCTTATCCATTTATTACTACATGTAAGATTCACAGTTAACATGTCAAAAACATAGGAATCTGGAGAATGGGTAAAGAAAATGCATTTAATTTAGAAAACTTCTGATTTAATACAAATAACATACTGCATATGATTCCATTTTGGATTACTTTCAGATATTTTATATCTAGGTGTGTGTGTAGCCCCTAAGTATCTCAACATTTACATGTTTTCCACTAGAATGAAAGATACTTCTGAATGCAGATTATTTTCTGTCTTTATTTGTATCCATAGCATTTAACACAGTACCATTACATATAGCATCACTTGTTAAATGCTTGACTGACACTATAACAGAAATTTCTGCAAAGTTGGTAAATCATATAAGTGCTTTAGAATTTCCCCTTTACAGAAGAAGCTAAAACTCAGGTTAAGTCACTTGCCTAGGTAAGACCTAAACTTGAATCCAGGTCTTCTAACTACAAGTCCAGTGCTCTTTAAACAAAAGACACCAAATTTCAGCATTTGCAATTTCTCTGAAGATGAGAAATTATGAGAAGAGCACTGGAAACTGAGAAAGTTTGGCCTGGCCAAAATCCTGACCACCAGTAACTGATGAGGCCAAAGTTAATACCACTGGTGTACACTAATTAAACAATAACTACCTGATTATAATTTGGAGGCACTCTGTTAACATAGGACTTGTTCTATAGCCATAATAATCAAACCCTTAGAGCTGCCATGTTCTCTCTGACCTTCCACTTTTTCAGAGGAATGAAGTAAAAAGCTGAAAGACTCCAGAACAATAAAAATTATGACAACTGTTCTGGAATTCCCCCCCCCCCCAAAAGGTGAGAAGGGCTCAGGACACCAAGGAATTGCCTTACCTTGGGGTTAAAAAAAAATGGGTTGATTTGACTATTGTCAAATACCATGTGTCAAATTTGCTACTTTTGGCCCCCCTACAAAAAAATGACTTACACTACCAGGCCGCAATTTCAATGCACAAAATTGTCAGGAGGCATGACAGTAAGAAAGAGAGGGGTGTGGGTGGGGAATCACAATTATTTAGTTTTGCCTATGTGCAAACAGTTTCAGCAAAGACCTGCTGGGGTTACAGAAGACCTCAGGGTAGGCTAGTGCCCAAACAGGACACAGCATCTACTGAATAAGAACAGCCAGCCCACTACTGTCATCTGCCAAAGCTGCCTGCAATGTAGACGGGGCAGAGGCGGTGGCAGGAAAAGAAAGGAGAAAGCAGAAAGGCAGAGGCAGGAGCGGGGGCAAGTACATAAGTAAGGAAAGGGGAAGGAGAAAGGGCAGGGGCAGAGGCAGGAGCGGGGGCAAGTACACAGGTAAGGAAAGGGGAAGGAGAAAGGCAGGGGCAGAGGCAGGAGCGGGGGCAAGTACACAGGTAAGGAAAGGGGAAGGAGAAAGGCAGGGGCAGAGGCAGGAGCGGGGGCAAGTACACAGGTAAGGAAAGGGGAAGGAGAAAGGCAGGGGCAGGAGCGGGGACGCGGTAGAGGCAGAGACAGGAGCAGGCGCAGAAGCGGGGACGCGTCAGGGGCAGGGCGGCCTCCGGCTCCCCCTCCATCCCGGGCTGACAGCCCGGGCTCTCGAGGGGGCACAGGCGGCCGCGGTGATGGGCAGCCTCCCTCCTCGCCCCCTCCCTCCCTCCCTCTCGGCGCGGCACCTTGATGGGCTTGGAGTCGCTGGGGCTGAGGCACTGTCCGTGCATCTCCTCCATGGCCCTGCAGGCCTGAGAGCTGCGGGCGAACTTGACGAAGGCGATGCCTTTGGACTCCTTGGTGTGCTTGTCCCGCACCACCCAGATGTCCTGGATCTCCCCGAAGGGCGAGAAGCGTTCCCTCAGCACCGACTCCGGCGTGTACTTGCTGATCACCAGAAAGATGCGGCTGTTGGGCGGCTCGTCCAGGCTGTCCACCCCGGGGCGGAAGCCGCCCCCGCTGCCACAGCTGCTGGCTTCGTCCATGGCGCCCCAGACGCCGCCCGAACACCACCAGTCCCTTTCGATCTCCGTGGTCCCCGCCGTGGCCGTTACTCTCCCCTCGCCCTGGATACCGACGGCAGTCAGCCGCCGTTGCTGGGCTCGGCCGAACACTTCCGGAAAGACAAAGCTTCTCGGCCCGGCCGTCGTTGCCACTGCAGCGGCCGCCCAGAGCGGCTTCCGGGAGCGGCGGCGGTGCTGCGCCGCCTCGAGGGCGGGAGGAAGAGGAGCCTGCGCTCAGCCTGCCCCCTCCCGGCCGCGCAGCGCGGTGCCAGGCGCTGTCCACGTGGAGCCGCCAGGTAGCCTGCTGGATCTATCCAGCTTGTTGGAAATGATGGAGAGCCTTGGCCTTGTTCTGCCTGATAGCACCTCCCACAGGATCTCTGGCCTGGATGACCCTAAAGAGTCTACCTCCCTATTTCCACTTTGGCCAACACTATCCATCTGCAGTCATAAAACCAGTGCACTGCCCCTAAAGGATTTAGAACTGGAAGGGCCATGAGGGACCATGTCCTCCTCTATCTTTAGGGGTAAGGGTCCCTGATATCAAGAAAGTGACTTTCCCAGCCAAGGTCAGATAGGTAGTGACTTTCACTGACCACATTTGAATCTAGAGCCCCAGACTTCATGACCCAAAGCAGGGGTGGGGGGGGTGGGGAAGTGGGGACAACTGAAGAGGTCTAGGGGTTTTGGGGTGCTGGGACCCCAAAATCGCGGTACCGGGCCCTGCTGAATGAATTCAACTCAAATCTTCTTCAGCCAGAGGAAAAGTTTATTAGTGATAAATCACAGAGGCCAGGTGACGCCCATAAGGACAGGCGGGCATGAGAAAGGCTCAGCCTTTTGGGGCACGAGAGATTCTCAGCTAGGTGACGCCCGTAAAGACGAGCGGGCATGAGAGGTTCTCCGCCTTTTGAGCGTGAGATTCTCAGCATCTGAATGAGGGCCAAGGTGGATCTTAAATACTAAAGTGACTTTGGGTGGCCAGAGAAGGGGGTTGGGGAAAGGGTCTAGGTAAGAATTCTAATTGGGGAGGTCAGAGAGATTGAATAGACAATGGGAATAGATAATGGAGGGAACAGGAAGGCAGAAATTTGAAAGGCATCTGCACAAAATCAAGGTGGGGCTAGGACTTTCAAAAGGAGATAAAGGAAGGCCTTTCTGGGGCCTATAGACAAAAGGGAGCCTAAGGCTTTCAAAGGGAGATGAAGGTCTGGGGCCTGTGAGTCAGATTCCCTTTGAGGCAAAGGGTGAAGATCTTGGCTTGGGCCCCACCCTCATCACAACCACTGATTAAATCCAATCAACAGGGCAGCAGACTCTAACCCCTTTTCCTACATCTTGCCCAGAATCAGTCCTCTGTGCTACTTCCTGGTCGTCTCCTCACTGGGTTGTGAGCTCCTTGGTTATCACTCAATTCATTTCCCCCAGGAAAAGACTTAGCTTTTGTTCTAACCATTTTCCTAAAGGGAAAAGTCTAAAAATAATTTCTTTTTTTAATCAGAAAAATATTATATCTCAATATTTCTAGTTGAACTTCAATTTTTAAAAATATGATTCTACACCTATATCCCCAGCACTTAGAACACTGCCTTCAAATAAAAAATGATCACCTGATTGATAGGATGAGCAGCCACAAGTGAGTTCACATGAATGAGATCATGAATCCGTTGAAGCACATTCATGTATGAGTAAACCAAACATAGACGTTTGCTAATAGAGATTTCCATGGATCTGAAGGTTGTCAGGTTGTTTTACTGACCAAAATAAGCATTTGTCATTATTAATGCAAGCCAGTGCAATTACAGAGTAGGCTTGTTCTGCCTTAGCCTGTCAATCAATAACTTCAGGATCCTTATTTCTTTTAATATATATATGTATATATGTATATTTGTTACATTTGAGTTCCAAGCTATTTCCCTCCCTCCCTCCCAACCCCACACTAGAGAAGGCCAACATTTGACATAGATAAATGTGTGAAACTATACAATGCATGGCTCCATATATAATATTTCATATTTGTGGGGGGATTTGTGAGAGCCAGGTGGTTTTCTGCCTTATTCTGCCACCTTCCCACTCAGGATTCTTATTTCTAATGAAGTTTTGCATTATATAAACAACTACTGAATATATAAAGCCTTCAAAACACATCACAAAACTGTGAGACAATTAAGTATGAGTCTGTCTGCTAAGGCTGCATTATCCAAGTGGAAGATATTGGACTTGCTTTGGGAGCCTGGAGGACTAGAGAATGCGTGAACATTTTGTGTTGACTTACCATGTGGTTGGGAGTTTTTTTTCTTCCAATGGCCAGAACTACTTGCATCTTTTAAATACTCTGACTCTGCACTTCTAGTGGCTATTGCTGCATTTATGTCTAAGGGTGAAAGTGAATCCTTCATTCATGATCAATGAGATCATACAGCAATAGGGGAGGGTCTTCAGACCTCCTTCCTTCCCATTTCCTCTCATCCCCAGACTGTGTAGCCAGTGGGTTGTTCTTTTGACTTTTCATTTAATTCTTTTCTGTTGTAGGTTCAGAGAATGTAATCTCTAACCTGGTCCTGGAATTTGAGCCATGTAAATCTAGGAGTATAGGAACCTAGAGCTGGTGTTGTGGCCAGCGCAGCAGTGATGCCCTCAGGAGCAAGGAGTGGGGATTCAGCTCAGCAAGAGCCAGAACTGAAGGCTTTGGGCTTGAGTTTAGGAAACAGGCTAATTCAGGAACCGTAAGCCTCCTCTTCATTTTTCTCTCCCCCTAGACTGAGGTAGTATAGGAGGATTGTGCCACCAGGTGTTGGGAAGGAATGTTTGTATGTTTGTTCTTGCTATATTTTTGAAGTAAATATTCCTTTGTAAAAGCTAGTCCAATGCTGAATGATTAAATGAAACTCCAGTGCTAGTCATTGGGCCCCTAAAACTGAGAGGAACACAGCTGATGGTCAATGAGAAATCTCTTCAGCCCTCTGGTACCCGAGAACCCTGACTGACATAAAATGTAACAGGTTTGAGAGAGTGAAGCCAGAGCAAACATATTGCATATCAGTAACATAGAGTTGTCAACCACAGGGTAAGGACATTGTTCCACTGTCCCCCAGCCCTCAAATGCATCTTTCAGAAATACAGTACTTGGGCTTAGGAACGCCTAAGTCAGACCACATCCTCCACTTATCACCTAACTTTGTCTTCCAGAAACATCCCAGTGTGGATAAAAACTAATGTGATTTACTTAAATCAGTCAGTCAATAAACATTTCTTATGTGCCTACTGGGGTGTGTGTGGGGGTTTTCTTGGAGGACTACCACCTGTGGTATGAGGGCCTGCTGAGCCCTTTTCAGGGCTGCTCATTCACCTTTGGTGTCTGGCTCCAAGAAGCTGTAGCATGTGCTGGGTAAAAATATTTCAGCGTATGGGCTAAACCAGGTTGAGAGTAACCAAAAGGCCTCTAACCCATCAGTGATTTAGGGGGATGCCTACCCTAAGCATGGATAGACTTGCCCTGGTGAAATGGCAGATGGGAACAATTTGTTCCAGTGGGCCATGAAGGTGGCTGAAGCAGGCACTATGCTGAGCATTGCGGATAGAAAAAAAAAAGGCAAAAGACAATCCCTGACCTCAAGGAGTTCCCAGTCTCATGGGAGAGAAGAAGTAAACAAATATGTTCAAATAAGTTGTGTGTAGGATAATAAATAGGAAATAATTGAGAGGGAAGGAACTTGAATTAAGGAGTTAGGGAAGGCTTCCTGTAGAAGTGGGATTTTAGTTGGGACTTAAAGGAGACCAGGGAAAGCAGTAGGGGGAAATGAGGAGGAAGAGCATTCCACAGGCATAGAAAATACCTATAGCAGAGAGATGGAGGGTTTTATTTATGGAACAGCAAAGAGGCTGATGTCACTGGATCAAAGATCCCATACGTGGCAAGGAATAAGGAGTGAGAAGACTGGAAGGTAGGAGGGGGCTAGGATATGAAGAGCTGTGATCTATTTAATGAAAGAAAAAATGAGATACCCATAAATCTTTTCCCTAATCCTAGATACAAATGCAAAGAAATACTAGTATTTCAAATATGCTAGTGACCTCTGCTGGAGAATGTGTGTAATTGTAAAAGCATTTGGTATACATGTATTTTTCTTTTTACATATCCAGAATGAATTGTTTTATAAACTAATGTGTATGACAGGGTTTTAGATAGGCTATGAATTAATTTTTATGAGCTAAGTGAAAGGTTGCTTAAGAAAATCTGGAACCACAATTCAACCCAGAAAATGTATTAAGAAGTTAATCAAAACAGTCTCTGATTTCTTTTATTAAAGTCGCCCAAACTAATTCAATGCGGGACATTTGGGGGTTTAAAATATATAAACAGAACCCTTAAATACTGCTTAGAGAAAATCTGAAACAAAGTATTTGTGCTAAGGTTCCCTCCAACTATAAAATACTAAGAAATTAAGTTTATTTCTATATTTAAAAAGTCTCAATTATATTGGAAACACGTGTCACCAGAAATGTGTGGTCAGAGAGCTGGGTCAGTCACATATTAAGTTGATTGCTGCTCCAACTCTTGTCCATGCACAATTGCACAATATAAGCAGTAATGGTTGAATTATAACTTGCATCTTTTGTGGGGGAATTTGTATAAGTGGGAGACAGTCCTTGAAAGCACAGGGAATAACCAAAGAAAGGGGACCTGATAACCATAAAAAATTCAGGCTATGCTATGGGAGTGATAAAGATGACCTGCTTTTGAGGCATAAATTAGTCCTTTTAGTGATATAGAAAGGATACAAGAGATAGGATGAAGAATGCCTCAAGGTAACCTATAAAGGTCATTTCATCAAGTCCAGTTGGCAAACTATACATGATTGTCATCATATATAAGAAGAATATAATCATCATCATCATTGTCATCATCACCATCATCATCACCATTTTATTAGACTTAAGGAACTGAATTCCTAATGAGACAAGTTGAAGATGAATGGACATCTTCAACATCTCATTTCTCATCCTCCTACATTCATTTTAGACTTCTTTGACTTTCCATCATGTCCCATGTCCACCCATTTTTCAGCTTCCTTTTTTGTGTTGTCTT